TTTTCTTTTTTTTTTTTTTTTTTTTTTTTTTTTTGGTACCGGGAATCGAACTCTGGTCCTTGTGCTTGCAAAGCAAGCAGCAGAACCACTGAGCTAAATCCCCAGTCCCTTTACTATTACATTTTAGATGATTCTATAAAGGACCAATGTCTGACTTTGGTAATCAGAGAGTAAGGATGATAGAAAGAACTGTGGAATAGTGAGTTTCTCTGAAATCTCTGTGGACCTCCCTTTCCTGGTGCAGTCCTTATACTTGGCTGGGCTTTTCTGATCTTGCTTTGTTTTGTGCAGACTAAGGCTTCCTGTCTTTCAACTGCTCCCACCTACTGCCCCTGTTCCCCTTGGAGGTCCTTTGGGTTTCTTTCTGGTTGATATAGTGGTTCTTGGAGCTTCTGAATCTGTAGCCACTTCCCAAGATTGGCTGTGAAAGAAAGTGGTCCCCTATGCTCTGGACAACATCAATCTTTTCTCTGTGGGCACTCCTTTTGGTCTTCCTTGAGATACTTTCTTTTATAATGGTCATAATAATCATGATTAGGTTTTTAAAAAAAATTTTTATGCTTACAGTGCTAAGGATGGAAGCCAGGGTCTTGAACATGCAAGGCAATCAACCTGATATTGAGCTACATCCCCAACCCAGAATAATAAATATTTAATATTCATGAAGTGATCATACAAATAGGCTCTAGACCTCACACTTTACAGACACTTTTTCATTTACAGCCCACCACAACCTGGGAGGTAAGTGCTCTTACTGTACCTATAACTGTGTTATAGGAAAGAAAATTGAGGTTGAGAAATGTTAGGTTATATATATGCTTATGCTTAAGGGGGAAAAAGCAGGGTGTGAAGTAGGGAAACCTAACTCCCAAGCCTGTTCTGTAACCACTAAGCACACACTCAAATGAGTTTTCTGGGTCAGACTAGTTTTCTCTTCTTCCCATGTCCAAAAATAATACAGTGAAAAAATCATATGACTAAGATCTAGAGTGCAATTCCTTAGAGCTCAAGAGTTTCTTCTCCTGTCCCTAGTTTACAAATTCATAAAAAGTGCCCCAAAGTGCCTTATGAGGGGGACAGCATAAGGAATAGGCATGCATGCTGAACCAAACCTGGGTCTTGACGCTAGGCTCCACTGTTTATTTGGGAAGCACCTTCATGCATGATACCTAGCCTCTCTGAACTTGTCTCCCTGTCTATACAACAGACATAATAAAAATGTCTACTGGCTAGGAATGTGGCTCAGAGACAGAGCACTTGTCTACTATGCACAAGACCCTTCCATCCCTGGCACTGCAAAAAAAATTTTTTTTAATTAAGAAAAATATCTTCCTCAAAGAGTTGCAAAAACTGCATGTGAGTAAAGTTCCCGGTTCAGGCACATGCTGCATAGTCAGTCAATGTTGGTAACCTTAAGTGCCCTGTCCAAGGAGTTAATTCATAGCCATGTGGAGCACACTTATAATCCCAGCACTAGGAAGGCTGAGGCAGAAGGATCATTACAAGTTCGAGACCAGCCTGAAGTAGGAGACCCTGTCTCAGGAAAAAAAAACAAAAAAAAGAGGAGCTAATCAGTGCACAGTTATAGTTGAAACCCAGGTCTCTGACTGCCAGGTCACAATTCTTTCCTTAGAAGCACACAATGCTTTTCAATCACTTTTTCCCATTTTATTGTCAACTTTAGTTTAAAAGAAGCTCTAAAGGGTCTTAATAAGTATTTGTGGATTTAAGCAGCCATGGAACAGCAACTTTGTCCAAATATATCACTTCAAATGGCCTGACTGAAATTCTTCCTTTTGTCAACAATGCCTGAAATTCAAGCTTCCTGTTTGAGAATGCTAATACTCCTGGGAATAGCTTTGAGTTAAAAGGCTGACATTCTTTGCTGGTGTAATTCATTTTCGCTTCATTCGCTCAGCAAACATTTGTGGAGGCCTCCCTATCACCTTCCAAATGAGATCCAGCTCTGAAGGAGAGAGCATTTTCATGCAGTGAGGATGTGGGGAGGATGCGGAGAAGAAAAAGTCGTTTTGGAGAAAGGACTTTCACTTATTCATTTGTAGAAGTTGAATAGGCACTTCAAGTGTGTCAAATACTATTCTTATCACTGGAGAACCGGTCACTTCTCCGCAAACTACACTACATTTGTAAATGAAGAAATAGGATAATTTCAGAAATAAGCAACACTCACACATACCCCAGTGTATGCTGTTAGTGGGGACAGAACATAGGCCGTTCCAGAAAAGGCTCTCTGAGAAGGTAGCATCTGACCGGAGACAGACAGGGATAAGGCATGTGGAGGCTGAGACAAAAATAAATAGTATGTTTGGGGCAGCAAGGGACCCCTGAGCTGCAGTGTGGTCAATGGAGCTTGAGAGGGA